TAGAATTTTCTCACTGTAGACAATTTTAAAAATACTGATAATTATAAGCAAGGAAACTAGACGAGAATACGCTTGAGAACTCCAAGCAAAAGAAGCCCAAATGTCAAGGTCACCCCTTTTGCTGAGGGGTGCCGCAGATGTGGGAGGCGGGGGTTGCAGTTTGTTTACCCGAAATATAAGTCGAGTGCTGCATTTGCAGTGCTCCGTCAGTATCTGGCCTAAACACTTAATAAATGTTTCTAAAATAAAAAGTAGGTGAAGGTCTTGAACACAGGTGTTGAGGAAGTCATAGCGGTCTTCAGAACATAGAGCTGAGCAAGGCTGGGAGGGTAGGGATTAATAGAGACAAAACATGAAGTTAATCCAGTGTTTTTGACTAATATTGGGAAATGTATTAAAGTCTAACACAAACGTCCTAAGAGTGAAAGGTTCCTTCTCTCTGGTGCTTTATTGATGAAAAGCATCCAGTTTGGGTGCCAGAGGGACTTGGTGTAAAATTCTAGCCCTGCTATTTCCTAACCATTTGAACTTGGACCAGTGTGTCACCTACTTCAATTCTTACGCATTGTGAAGAATTATAGAGATCTTACATAAGACAGAGTGTGCAAAGCATTTTGACTTATTGTGGGGTTTACTCCCCTTTTCCGTCCCACTCCCTAGCCTTTAGCAGGGTAACTAAATCTGGCTGCTGGAGTGGGGACCTACCCATGCGCTTTATCCCTGTGAGAATGAGCTCCCAGGCGGGAGATCTTAGCATGGTCATTGCCAGCCCTCCCAGGATAAATGTTTCTTACACTGTATGTGTTTTTCAGTGACATGAAAAAAATGTCAAGGCATAAAGATAATTTGATTATAGATTTTAGGGTCTCAGACATAGTCTTTTCATGCATGGAGCAATTCCTGTAGACTGACTTGAGGTTCCTATCATTAATGTCAGCAGCAGAATTGATCATATAAGGGAGTCTTGAGACTTGTATTGGAAAATTGACCATGTTTCCAGGGAAAACCTTGAAGTGGGCCATTGTAGAGGAAGGAGTTAAGATGATGGTCAGGTTGGCAGGATACTAGGTGTGAGGATGACTGGTATTTTTGTAATCGTTTTAGAGCTGTTTCCAATGGCTTTTTGTAGGAAACCAGTTCGTGCTGCATTCTGAGTTCTTGTTACTGTCTCTGCTACCTTTCTTATTCCTGACCTGTTTTCTCCAGGCCTGGAAATTTCTTGTCTCTTCGAGCCTAAATTATCCCTCCTCTAACTTTGTCTGGAATTTTATGATGCTCTAAAGGGATGGAATATAACATTATGCATTGCCAGTAAGTCATACTTTCAACAAACTGCTGCAGCCTGTAGCTGGTTTCAGCTTTATGTTTTAGGTCATGAAAAACATCAATGCTTCACTTAGTTACTTAAGTTATAAATTCCGTACAATATACTTACATTAAAAGGAGATTCTGGCACTACAGCTGAGTTTGGTCTGGCTTTCCTAACAACATATCTAAAATTGGGGGGCGGGGGGGCTTGAGAATGACATACCAGAACTACGTAGTGTTTTCCGTGTTGGTTCCAGGTCTGTTTTGTGGCCAGGCATTAAAAGGTATTGGGGATTTGAGTCCTTTCTGTTCAAAGACTTTTCTTTCTACATTAGAACAGGAACCAATTTTTTAAAAAAAATATATTTTATTGATTTTTTACAGAGAGGAAGGGAGAGAGATAGATAGCTAGAAACATCGATGGGAGAACAACATATCTAAAATTGGGGGGCGGGGGGGCTTGAGAATGACATACCAGAACTACGTAGTGTTTTCCGTGTTGGTTCCAGGTCTGTTTTGTGGCCAGGCATTAAAAGGTATTGGGAATTTGAGTCCTTTCTGTTCAAAGACTTTTCTTTATACATTAGAACAGGAACCAATTTTTAAAGGGCCTCTCTTCTGGCCACAAAGCTCCTTGTTCTAACAATCTAATGGCACGTGACAGGTGAACCAAGCAAGCGACATGGCCACACCTACTTCAGGAGGGCAGACGACGGCAGTCCTGATCTGTCTCAATAAGGCGAAGAGCCAATGAACAGCCCTCATGATTCTGGGGTTCTCCTTTGTGGCCGCCATGTACTCAGCTCTCTCTCCTTGCCATAGGCAAAGTGACACCCCTTCCCAAGGTCCGTAACCCAAATTGCCCCATTCAGTCATAGCATCGTGCTCAAAGTTCAGTATTTCTTCACCAGATCCAGATGTGGCACCTCTTGGTCTGGAGACTTCATGAACTAAAAAGACCGGTGTTCTGTCCCTCGTGTCCCCTCCCACCTTGTGGAACTGGGAAAGATAACACCCATTCAGAAAGGGGAGGGATGGGAAATGATAATAATAAAAAAACACCTCCCAAAATTGTATACACACACTTTGAATATTATAAAGGCAGTGTTTACTAAAATACATTTCATTTTCAAAACTGAGCTATCAGTTGTTAAAGTGTGTCTATATTTTGCAGGGACACCCTATATATAGCAGTCCCAGAGCAGTAGCAATTCTGAAATCCCACTGAACAGGCAGTTTGGGGGATCTCACCTTGGGTTGGAGAACATTCATTTATTACGCCCAGATTCTGCTTCCTGGAGGAGCCCCCACCCCTCAGTCCGTTGTTCTCCATGGCTATTGGCTCCTCCCTTTTTCCCCCCTTCCCTTTCTGGTAACTTCTTGGCTACCCTGAGGTTGGCCAGGACAGGCCTTCATATAGCAGTCCCAGAGCAGTAGCAATTCTGAAATCCCACTGAACAGGCAGTTTGGGGGATCTCACCTTGGGTTGGAGAACATTCATTTATTACGCCCAGATTCTGCTTCCTGGAGGAGCCCCCACCCCTCAGTCCGTTGTTCTCCATGGCTATTGGCTTCTCCCTTTTTTTTTTTTCTTCCCTTTCTGGTAACTTCTTGGCTACCCTGAGGTTGGCCAGGAGAACAGGCCTTCGTTGGGGGCAGCTTCCTCTTTCTGTAGGGTCGCGGTCCTCTTTTCATCCAGACGGCTGGTTATTTTGGCATCACAGCTCTCAAACATGGCACTCACTTCTTCTCTGATCCTAGTCAGCTTCATGTATCAATAGCCTGACCTATAATTTTGGCTAGATAGAACTTAGCTTTTCTATCTTTCTCATTTACCCCTCCATGTACCTCCTCCTTCTTTACTTATTTGAGGGTATCTTTTTCTCCACCGGCTTTCAGTTGGAGACCCACCCCTTGTCTCTTTTTCCTGAACCATGCATGTATCCTAAGTGAAAGAATGTGCCGAGGGCCACAGTAATCCGCACAGGGGTGTTCATGTGCGGTGGCTGCACCCTTGATTTCTTCCTTAGCCGAGGTTGAGTTTTAATCAGCTTTTGTTCCTTCAAAGGCCTTCTTCGTTTTATTTTTAACTGTTTGGGGTTGAGGAGTTACTTGCCTCTTCCGGTCTTTTAAGTCTGAACTTGAACTCAGTTTTCTTACATTCCTGATGTAAACCAACCAATTATTTTTTGATATCATTTCTGTCTTGCGTGGGTTTCTCTGATCTTACTCAGTCATTTTTTTATCCCATTCCTTGTCTTTTCCTTTTGCTTTTTCATCTAATCTTGTTTTCTACCAGTTTCATAGAGGCCATGTCCCCTGTGCTCTGTTGAGGGTGCCAAACTATTTCCAGGCTTTTCTTTTGGATCCATCACTATGTCCAGGCAGAAATCTTTGAGGATTTCAGCGGCTGTTCCTTCCTTCGACTGGAACATTTTCTTTTGCACATGGCTTGTGTTTTTTTCTTCTCCGTTTTTTTCACTCCTTTAAAAAGTGAAATCTGCCAGATGTGTTTGCTAACAGCAAATAGGCTCCCTTACCATCTGGATCTGCAGCCCAGGGCGGGTTGACCTGCACAAATCCCAGTTCAAGTCTCAGTTTCTAGAAGGTTTTCGCTGAGATCAAATCTTTTTTTTTGTTTTAAATATTTTATTGATTTTTTATAGAGAAGAAGGGAGAGGGACAGAGAGTTAGAAACATGGATGAGAGAGATCGATCAGCTGCCTCCTGCACGCCCCCCACTGGGGATGTGCCCGCAACCCAGGTACATGCCCTTGATCGGAACCGAACCCAGGCCCCTTCAGTCCGCAGGCCGACGCTCTATCCACTGAGCCAAACCGGTTCGGCTGAGATCAAATCTTTACTAACCCTCCCTGCTTGATCTTCTGGTTTGGGTGGAAAATATGGAAACAAAAATGTGGAGCATTTGCTGCCACCAGGATTATTTCTTTCTTTATTGTCTATTACACGGCTCTGTTTATAGGGACTGTCCTTAGAGTTTAATGTGTCCTTGCAAGTTCCCTTAAACTTCTTTTCCAGTTGTTTTCTAGGAATTGTTGGCCTTTTTGAATGTGCAGGGATGGGAGGTTGAAGAGGAGGTGTGTGTGTGTGTGTGTGTGTGTGTGGTTTGGGGGCAGCACACAATAATCTCACCAACACAAAGATCTGCCCTGATGGGGATTTGAAGTTGGCTTCTGCCTTCCAGTGGCTACAGCTCTTGAGTGTCTGAATCCGATCACCAACTGGAGAGGGTGTCTGACATGCCTTCTTAGGCGGTCTCAGTTCTATGAGCCTCAAGCTAGTTATGACATCATGACAGGTTCTTTTGGTTTTGTTCTGTTTTTCCTTTCCTCAATCAGTGTATGATTGATGTTTATGTTCAGCGAGATCCTTCCAGGTTGTGGTGCTATCTGTTGATTTTCCTTTTTCCTGGAGTGAGTTCTTGGATTGTTTCTTGCATGTTCAAAAATTGAGAGAAGTTGACAGGATTCACTTGACTCTGGAAGTCCATGCACCTTAATTTCTGGCTTTGTCTTCTGACACCTGGAGAGGAGGGCTCGTGCTTTTAAGTCTGGTAATAGAATTCCTAAAAAGTAGTTATTGTGATATCTTTATATTTGGCTTGCTACTAGAAAGGGTAGGAGTTTTACAGTTTCATTTGAGTTTGACATTATATAGTGTTTCTGTTTCAGATCCTGGCCGCAGCGATGTTTCACTTCTTCAGGAAGCCTGTGGAACCGAAAAAGCCCTCGGTGTCAGACACGGAAGCAGATGGATTTGTCCTTTTAGGTAAGTTTCTGTTAAGAAATGAAATCGCAATTACATGGACTATTTTTCCTTTTATTTTATTTTATTTTATTTTTTTAAAATATATTTTATTGATTTTTTACAGAGAGGAAGGGAGAGGGATAGAGAGTTAGAAACATCGATGAGGGAGAAACATCGATCGGCTGCCTCCTGCACACCCCCCACTGGGGATGTGCCCGCAACCAAGGTACATGCCCTTGACTGGAATCGAACCTGGGACTCTTCAGTCTGCAGGCCGACGCTCTATCCACTGAGCCAAACCAGTTAGGGCTATTTTTCCTTTTAAAAAAATTACTTGAAAATTATAGGATTTATTTTTAAAAATTATTTCCCAGTAATTCCAGAATTAGTTTATATTAAATCTATAAAGTTCATGAATCACTTAGAATATTGTCATCAAGTCATATTCTTCTTATAAATTACTTTGGCTGTGACCTGAAAATCAAATTTATAAAATTATCCCGTTTTTCTCTCTCTGATATGCCAGTCAACCTCTTTAGTTGTGAAAAACCAAAATTCATGAAGAATCCTTGATAATTTCAAGTTGTTTTATAAATAGCAAGCCTTGCTTTTTAAATTCGCATCTTAAGTTACATTAGGCATCTGAGATAGAAATATTTGCTGAATGCAATACACTTTTCAATCTAATGTTAGTGTCTCCTAAATGTTTAAGCCTAGTTTATCTCCTATTGTAAAATTATTACTACTATTTATTAGGATTTAAGTGATTTTAGAAAATATTTCTTTCAACCAGTAGCTATGCTTTTCCCCTGGGGAATTCTGTAAAAGACACACAAACCTTCCTTCATGTCATGGTGTCTTTCCCTGAGGAGGAGATGTGGATTCTGGTGAGGAGGACAGAACCCAGTTTCCCCCAGTGGCTCACATCCTCTCCCACCTGGACCTCCTCCCACCAGATCCGGGCTCCTCTCAGATGATTTGCATGCACTCATAGGGGTTTACTCTCTGGGATGTTCCTCAGATGTCTTCCCTTCCAGAGTCTGGTTTCCAACCTCTTCCTTCATCCTGGCCCAGTCTGACTAGGGTCCCCCTGGCATCGGCAGGAGTTAAGGGCGATCCTGAATTTTCAGCTTAGACCCTCTGGCAGCCAGGCTCCCGCCATGCCTCGACCCCACACATTCACAGGTATGGTGGGTGGCTCTCTGCCTCTTCAGCCTTTGTCTGTAGGATCCGGTCCCTTGCAGACAGGACACGGAGGTTTTCTCTCTCCGGCCCTCTTCCAGTTCTTGGCCTGAATCTCCATAAGATCAGAATAGATTTTCTCCAGCTAAATGTTACCTTAGATAGTGCGTATTCCACAGCCAGGCTCTGGTAGGCCTGTGTGTTTTCCTGAATCTGCTTCTGTGACCTGGGACAGGGGCCGTGGTTGGGGCGCTCAGAGTTGCTTTTTTCTCCGACCAGATCCCCTACACCGGAGGCAAAATAGTGGGGCGCAGTCTGACCAGGGCCAGTGAATTTTCTGAGGAGCCTTTTGACTGGGGTACTGTGGGGTGCTGTGGACACGACTGCTTATCAGGCCTTTCTCAGCATGTTAGGAATTAGTGCCTTGGCTTCCAAGTCAGAACTGGCTCTGCCAACCCCAAGTTCCTTTTTTTAAAAAATTAAAATATTTATTGTTGAAAGTGTTACATATGTCCCCTTTACCCCCCATTGATCCCTTATAGCCCTCCCCTCACTCCAGGCCTTCACCACCATATCGTCTGTGTCCATGGGTTATGCATAGTTGCATACAAGTTCTTTGGTTGATATCTTCCCACTCAGCCACCCACCCCCACCTTCCCTCTGAGATTCAACAGTCTGTTCCATGCTTCTATGTCTCTGGATCTATTTTGTTTCCGTTCCTTGAAAGCTGCCAATGTTGCTTCCCTTTCACATCATAATGTATTAGCCTCACTAACAGAAAAACTGCAGCGATGTCTCTGGTCTTCTCTGAAGTTTCTGCTTTCTCAGGAGTTTCACAATAAATTCCTCTCTCAGAAATATGCTTCCACAAAGCCTAATTTTTCCAAACTCTGTTGTGTATTCTTGATTTTAGAACACCTCTGTCATCTTAACATAGGCAGCAGACCTTGCTTTTTCCCGTGTTTCATGGTTAGAAATCAGTATTATTCCTTTTGTTATCTAATAGCTATTTAAAGGATGTACTTTTAGAGAACTAAATAGACATAAGACAGATTAGTAGGAGAAAAGCATACAGATGTTTACATGTCCATGGCAGCCCTCATAGAAGAGTGAAGACCAAAAGAAGTGGTAAAAACCCAAGTGCTTATATGCCAGGTTGAGTAAAGAGGCAATTGTGGGAAAGTGACTAAAATATGTGGGGAGACTAGTGGAAGATCAGAGTTATTTTAATAAGTTCTGTCTGTATAGTTCTCTTGGCCTCGACTCCCCATCTCCGGTGATAAGAATGTCTCTTTCTTCCTGGCATCTTTCACATGGGGGTTTTATCTCTTGCTTTCAGTTCAAAATTATCCTTATGCCAAAGTGGCACATTTTTTGGGTGGTGTATCTGCCACCCTTCACCATTTTGGGCAAGTTATGTAACCTCCTGGGTGTCATTTAGCTTCTCTAGAGAATGAACGTGATAACAATACCCACCCCATAGGGTCGTTGAGGGGATTCAATGAGTTAATGTGTGTAAATTGCTTAGGGAGTGAAGTGGTGGTATTCTCTCTCCGTATACAGGTGAGGACTTAGGTTTTCCAAGTTCCTCCAGCTAACACATAGCAGATCTGGAATTAGCCCAGGACTTCAGAGCCTACCTCCTACCCTCCTAAACACTAAGCTATCCATTTTTTAAAATGTCACATTTTAAAATGTCATTAAAAAATGTCATTTTTAATTTTAAGACATTATTGACATTTTAAGATTAAAAAAAGAAATTGTGTTTTTTATTGTTTAAAAGAGAAAGTACTGATTTTTTGTTGTTATTTTAATAAAGGAGGGTGGTATATTATTGTTCATAAAGTTTGGGTTTAAATTTTGATACCCCCCCAATTTTTACTATTTAATACTTTAAGTATATGAAAATATTGCAGAAGTCTGTAATCTCCTTAATGAGGTTGAGATTGGAAGACGGTATACATTGTTTAGTTAGTAAAAAAGGAATCCTTGGACAGTGAAGGACTTAACTGAATTGACTGATAAAAGTCAGGATGGATTATTAGGAATATAGTTCATTATCTTTAAAAATAGAATGATAATGTCTTCTTTTAAAAAAACTGATTTGTTCTGCTGAGTTGCTCTTTTTATCACATGGTTCTATACTGACATATACTATATCTGCTGTAGTCTCAGAGCATACTATGGAAAATATTTTGGAAAATGTCAAATAGGACAAATACTAGGTATGAAATGCTGTTATTAACATGGCCCCATACTTACACACGTGTATTTTGGTTATCATGTGTTCACATAACTTTCTTTGTCCTTGTGGCAATAGATAACATTGCAGGCAAATAAATGTATATGATTGCCTTTGTGTGTTTATTAATTTCTAAATGAGGCAACAAACTAAAGACTTAGAAACATGATTATATTATGGTAACAACTTCTTATCAATATGTAGTCTACAGAATTTTTTAGATTATCATCTTACGTGGCCTTTATAACCTGTTTCTCATAAGGTCAGAGTAAATTATGTTGTTAAAAGAATAAATTATCTATTTTTTTCCACTTGAGAATACCTTTCCCCTAGGCAAGCTTTCCTGCTTAACACAAATAGGTCTTAGGCCGCAGTTATTAGATGGTGTTGCTGAGTTGCTAAATTCAGGGTCAAGCAGAGCTTAGGCACTTTTGTTGATAATAGGAATATCTGGGCTGTTCATATACAATTAGCTCACTTTGGGATGGAACACTTTTTCTCTGTTGAGGTTTACAAAGACTTTGTAAAATGTCAAGTGTGCTAAATAAGAATAAGGGAAAAAACAGCCTGGTAGAAAAACATCCTTTCCCATCTAACCAGCTCCTATTCACATAAGAAGGTAAAGGCTATTATTCATTCATTCAGTAATGAAGTTGAAGTAATCCTCCAGGGTACTCATTTTACACAAAAACAAATTGCAGTTACCATTTGCAGCACTGGGTGGCGATTTTTCTTAGTCTTACCACTTTAAAACCCCAGCAAGCATGGTCCTATTTGTAGTCCCCAGAGTTTTCTTCTGTTATGACATGTTTAATTGTACTTTCAAGGCATCATCTTTAAGTTGATTACAAATTTGCTATTGTAGTGTGCAACCTCATAGTTACTTTAAATTAAGATAAAGGGGTATCTGTTGCTTAGATGTTGGCATATAATTTTTTCCAAAACTAAGACAAAAGCATGAATTAGCTTAATATGCTATAGCTAAGTGAAGGAAAAACAGCAGCAATGAAAAACCCCCCACAGAATATAAAATTAAAAGGAATAATTTAGGTTACTGTTGTGTTCAGTGACACTGTTGACCAGATGTTGAATATAACTTTGAAGAATGAATTGGGCAAGCACAATTTCAGAGATTAAAGGAATCGGGTTTCAGTTCAACTGAAATTCATCATGTTTTTCAGAATATGCAGGTGCTTCTTAAAGTAGGGCCTAAGAACTTCTAGTTTCCATTAAGCTAATTATTTTGTAAACCTCATTGAATTTAGGATCAGAGTTTAGTAATTCACAACAGTTGGATGTCATCTTTTAAGTACTGATATTGAAATATGTGATTTAGTCTCACCTTCTGTTTTCCAGGTTAAATGATAAATCAAATTTTGAAAAGTAGTGGGTTATTTTTAAGATCATTACCTACTGTATTCCTCGTCCTGGGAATCATTCAAACCATGTACACACACTAAATTCAACTATCATGTTTTTATATGGAGCTTTTTAGGAAGGCTTTTCATCTCTGTATTCTTTCCTTTATTTAGAAGTGGAAATTGAATGGTGTACAATAAAAATTTACATTCCATGGAATGAGGGACAGTAAGTCACT